GGGAACAGCCATGCCCGCCTTGCCCTCCACACCTGCAACGGGAACAGCGGGAATGGGAATTCCCACATTTCCAACACCAATCTGCTCTCTTGGCCCACCATTCCCATCCCTCCCCAGTCCCAGGGGGGCCCATCCTGGCGTCCCACCTGGAATTCCCACTCCGTACACCACCACGTCCGTCTGGTTGAGGATGCGGCTCAGGGCTCCCTCCACCTCCGTGGTGGAGACATTCTCCCCGCGCCACCGGAACGTGTCCCCACTCCGGTCTCGGAAGTACATGTATCCCAGGTCGTCCATGACCAGCACATCCCCTGGGAAGAGCAGGAGACACCAAAAAACCCACCTTGGGATCCCTGGCCAACGTTCCAGGACGCCTCGTTCTCCGTTGGTTTATCCCAGGACGCCTCGCGGCCGTCGGTCCCATCCCAACGGGAGCACCTCGGGGGCATCCCCACCCCATTTCTCAAGGGGCAGAATCCTGGATTTGGGTCTCTGGGAAGCCAGGAATGCCGGTGGGAGGTACCTGAGAGATAGGCCTGGTCCCCCTTGCGCAGGACGTCGTGGGCGATCTTCTTGCTCGTGGCGCTCTCGCTGATGTAGCCGTCGAAGCGCCGCAGAGGGTCCCGCTGGTTGATCTGCCCCACCAGCAGCCCCGGCTCTCCTGCAGCAACGGGAACGACCCCGGAGTGACCCCAAACCCTCGTGATCCATGCCAGGAATGGGCATCCATGGGATTGACACATGGGATCGACACGAGGCAGTGACGGGATTTACGGTCAACACAAGACACCGACAGGTATGGGATCAGTTCAGGGGGACACTGATAGTTATGGGATCAATTCAGGGAGACACTGATAATTATGGGATGACACAAGGTGGCACTGACTTGTGGGATCTACATGAGATGACACCGACATCGTTGGGACCATCAATATTTATGGGAGCGACACAAGGTGGGACCAACTTTTGGGATCTACACAAGATGACACCAAGATTTTTAGGATCAACTCAAGACACTGACATTTATGGGATCATTGAGATTTATGGGATCAACACAAGGCACTCACCTGGGCGACAGGGGACACAGAGCCCCCGGGAATCCCGGATCAGCTCCATGGTGTCCTCGTTGACCTTCACCAACCGGATGGGATAAACGTTGGGCAAAATCCGGCTGTTGAACCCGCAGGCTCCCACCTTCCAAAAGACAGGGAAAAACCCCAAAAAGCTGAAGGGATTCTGTGTCGGTGCTTCCAGGGGGTTCCCTCTTGTTTTATTTTGGAAATTCACCCCAAAATTCACCCAAAATTAGGATTTTCCCCATTTTTTGTGCTAATTGCCAACATAGCTCCCGGCAATCTGTTGGCAGAGGACGAGGAAGACTCCGAGGTGCCGTCAGAGCCCTCGGAGCTGTTCCCCTTCCTGTGCCACCCTCACCTTCCCATCCAGGTTGGCGATGCTGCAGTTGCATTCCGTGGCTCCGTAGAACTCCCCGATCTGCTTCACCCGGAAGCGCCGGGTGAACTCCTCCCAGATGTGGGGCCGGAGCCCGTTGCCGACCGCGAGCCGGACGCGGTGCCGGCTCTCGGAGTCACGGACCGGCTGGTTCAGGAGGTACCTGCAGATTTCCCCGATATACTGAATGATCTGGAGCAAAGAAAACACGGCTCAGGCCTGCGGTGATCCTTAAAAACGGCGGGAAAAGGGGGAAATCGACCCCAGGGAGGAGGAGTGGGGGGAATGTTGGGTGGGAATGAATTGGCTGCAGTCAGGGAGGGTGGAAATGGGAGGAAGTGTGGATGTGGCCCTTGGGAACAGGGCCCGGGGTGGCCTCGGCAGCGCAGGGGGAAGGGGCGGAGCCGAGGGTCTCCAGGGCTTTTCCCACCACAGGCATTCCATGGCTCCCTCACCGTGCAGCGATACTTGACACAGTCGTCCCAGAAGCGACTGGCCGAGAACTTCTTCCTGATGACCACGGTGAGCCCATGGATCAGGCACTGCCCCACGCCCATGATGTTCCCTGGAAAACAAGGAGCATGGAGGGAGGGATCCAGTCATCCTGGGGAGAGGGAGGGAGCAGGGGTGGGAGGGGACAACGCCTCGGCTCTGCTGAGAGGAAGGGGAAGGGAGGGAGGGAGAAGGGAGGGAAGGGAGATGGAAGGACAGGAGAGGGGAGGAGGAGGAGGAAGGAAGGAAGGAAAGAGAAGGAAAGAAGAAAGAAAGGAGGAGGAGGAGGAAGGAAGAAGGAGGAGAAAGAAGGAAGAAGGAGGAGAAAGAAGGAAGAAGGAGAAGGAAGGAAGAAGGAAGAAAGGAGGAGGAAAAGGAGAGAAGGAGGGAAGGAAGTAGGAGGAGAAGGCAGGAAGGAGGAGGAGAAAGGAAGGAGGAAGGAAGGAGAAGAAGGAAAGCAAGGAAGGAAGGAAGGAAGGAAGGAAGGAAGGAGGGAGGAGGAGGCAGGAGCAGCCCCACCTGCCGAGTGGTAGAGGGGCAGGCAGTCGTAGATCACGTCCTCGGGGCGCATCCGGTAGGCGTAGTAGCCGAAGGCGGCGATCCGGTAATACCTGTGGGCACGGCACTGGTGGGGTCTGCTCTGGCCACACCCCGTGGCCACACCCCCACTGACTACACCCACATGGCCACACCCCACTGACTACACCCACTGACCACACCCCTGCTGGCCACGCCCCCCACTCACCTGCTGTGCACCACGATGGCCGCCTTGGGCATCCCCGTCGTGCCCGACGTGTAGATGTAGAAGAGCCGGTCTGGGAAGAGGGAAAAGACGAGTCAGGGTCTTCCCCATGGACTGGGAAACCCCTTTGGACACATCCAGAACACCACGGGGACACGGGGATGTGTCCAGAGGGTTCCCAGAGGATCCACATGTCCCAGGGCCTGTGGAGCTCCAAGGACTCGACCTGGATCCCTCCACGCAGGTTGTCCTGGGACTGGTTTAGATCTCCAGGGACATGAACTCCAAAACATGGAATCCTGGAATCTCCTGAGGGATGAGCTTTAAGGTCCCTTCCCACCCAAACCATTCCACGACTCCATGAGTTTTGAGCTTGGAGTGGTTGATTTAATCCCTCCATTCCTCAGTTTTCCCAGTTTTCTGCCACCTCCCCCTCCCACCACCCTGGGAATTAAAACCAGGATGAATCACCATCCAGGCCTTTTGACGGGATCTGCGCCAGGGGGGATTTGGGGGCGGAATTCAGGAGCGGATCCAGGTGTTTGGTGTCCACAGGGACCAGATCCGGGTTATATTCCCCGGAGCAGAACTTTTCCATGTTCTTCCCCAGCATCCCATTGACCTCCGAGACCGCTGCAAGACAAAGCCACGGACACAGCATTCCTTAGGGAGGCCAAGAGAATCCACGAAATCCCCCCAAAAACACGGAAAGGACCCAGAGGAACCCTCCCCTGCCCCTCCCGTGCCCCCTCCCCTCTCACCTGCCGCCAGCTCCCCCCCGAACACGAGGGCCTTGGCGCCGGAGGCGGCCACACAATAAACCAGCGACTCCCGGCGCAGGTTGAAGTTGATCAGCGCGGCCTCGACGCCGGCCTTGGCCAGGCCCAGCCAGAGCGCCACGAACTCCGGGCGCGACTCCATGAACAGGGCAACCACGTCCCCGGAGCCGAAGCCCAGCTGCTGGAAGAGGTTGCCCACGGCGTTGGAGAACTCGTCCAGCCGCCGGAAGGTCCAGCGCTCGCCCGTGGCCTCGTAGATGAGCGCGGCTTTGTCTGGCAGCCGCCGCGCCACGGCCTGGAAGAGCCGCGGGATCGTGGCCCGGGAGCGCTGGTGCCGCCGCAGGTGGAACTTCACCCGGAGCAGCACCCACAGGCCGCTGGGGAGGGCACAGAAACCCAGCTTTACGCTCCGAGTCGGGATTAGGGCACGGGGGGAGAGGCTGGGGAGGATTCAACAAGTTAAACTGGAGTTGGAGTTAACCCGGGATGAGGAGATCACAGTTAAGTTGGGGTGGGTTAAACCAGGGTGGGTTGACAGCAAGGTGGAGTTGAAAGTGATGCTGGGTGACATTAATGGTAGGCTGGGCTGAGCTTCAAGTTAGGCTGGGCTGTTCTTAACAATAAACTGAAGGTAAAGTTGGTTAATCAGGGCTGAAATTGAAGTTAATCAGGACTAAAGCTGAAGTTAAACAAGGGTGAACTTAACACCAGGTTGAAGTACTGGCCTAGAGTTGAACTGGAGTTAAAATTAATACCAGGCTGAGGGTAACACCAGGGTAAAATTAAACTGCGTTAAAATTAAACTCGAGCAGGACGGAAGCTAACACCAGGCTGAAGTTAAAGTTAAGCTTAACTTTAAGTTAATACCAGGGTGAAACTGGGCTGAAATTAAAGACTGACATTAATACTGGGCTGCAGCTGAAGTTAAGCCAGGCTGGGGATGGACGGGAGGGTAAATCCCAGTTTTAAGGACGTTTTCTCCCATCTTAACAATAAAACCCACTTGGAAACTATCGGATTTCCCGAGAAAAACAGCAAAACACTTCCCGACCTTCCTGCCAGGAAGGTTTGGCTGCTCCTGGGGCTCTTTTGGACACTTTTCCCCTGGGATGTGACGGCTTTTCCAAGCCAAAGCAACCCTGAGCCTCAGGAACAACACGTGGCCCCCGCGCCGAGGAATCGAGCCAAGAGCTTCCCCTTTCACCCAAAAACTTCCCCTTTCACCCAAAAACTTCCTCCTTTCACCCAAAAACCAGGACAGCTGCTGCCTCTTCCCGTGACTCAGCCTCTGGAATTCAATCCCACCCCTAATTTGAACAGTAATTAATAAATATTAACAATTCCTGGCCTTATCAAGGACCCAAACGGTGCCTCTGGGCGGGTTCGATACTGGAGCACAACAGCCCTGGCTGCTCTAGAGGGGCTTTTTTTGGGGTGTTTTCCCTAATTCCCGGAATTATTTGAGCTCTCCGAGGCGGCAGCTGCCAGGAGAAGTTGCTGCCTGACCTCATTGGCCATTGGTCCCTCTATAAAAATAGACCTGGCTTAAAAATAACTCCCCGACCCCCCTCCCTGACCGAGCCGGCCCCACCGCAGGGTCCCACCCGGGGGGATCCCGATTCCTCCCCGGAGGCCACGTTTGTCCACCGTGAAATTGGGGAATTGCTGGGCAAGCAGGGCTTGGAAGAACCCCCGGAGGCTGGAAAGGCCGTTGGAGAGCGGCGAGGAGCCCCCGTGGAGCTCCGGGAGCGATTCCAAGTGGGAACGGGGAAGGGGGAGCGGCTGGTTTTTGCCAGAGGGTCAGAGGGAGCCGAGCCCGGAACAGAGGAGCCTTTCAGAGCTCCCAGAGCCCCAGAAGGGCTTTATTCTCCGGGATTTTGGCTGGGGTTATTCCCAGAGGAAACAGCTCCTCAATGGAGCTGGCACAGGCGTCGGGAATAGCGGGACATCCTCGGGTTTTGGGGCTAAAAACCGCGGAACTGAGTGTGAGGAGGTGGGGGAATCCCAGCAGATGGGGGGGGGAGGGCTCAGTGCTCCCAGATGGAATTTTTGGGGGAATCCCCCTCCCTGTGAGCTCGGGGGGAGGGGGGGGGGGGGGAGGGAAATGGCCAGAGCCCCAAATCTTTGGGAATCCTGGTGAATAAAGGCACATCCTTGTTTTAGGGGATCTAAAATCCATGGAACTAAGGGCAGCAATGGAATCCCAGGAGATGGGAGATGCTGGAGACTCTGCCCCCACCTCAGACCCCACATTTTGGGGGGATCTCCCCTCCCTGGGAGTGTGGGGGCATCACCCCATGACTGCTCCCCTGGTGTCCATGGGATGGATCCCGGAGCATCCCAGAACATCCTGGAGCATCCTGGAGCACCCTAGGCTGGGGGCCGGGGTGGACTGGGGAGGGGTCAGGGGGTTCATGAGGGACAGGGGGGGGTCAAGGGGGTCGGGGGGCTTAGGGGTGGGGTCACAGGGGTCAGATTTGGGGGGGTCAAGGGGAGTCAGAGTCAGTGGTGTGTCACGGGGGGGGGTCGGAGGGGGGTTGGGGGTGTCAGGGTGGGTCAGAGGGGGGTCAGGTTCGAAATGGGGTTCGGAGTGGGGTTTGGTGAATCAGAGGGGGGTCAGGGTCAGGGGTGTGTCATGGGAGGGGTCAGAGGGGATTCGGGCATTGTGCCATGGGGGCCCGGGGGGGGTTAGAATTGAGATGGGGGGTCAGGGGAGGTCAGAGGGGGGTCGGGGTGGGGGTCAGGCTGAAGAACATCGCACACCCCCCCTCGCCCCGTGCCCCCCGACTCACAAGAGGTCCCGGGGCGCCGTCCGCACGATGAGCCGCAGCAGCCGCCACCCGCCGCCGCCCAGGCACAGCCCCAGCGAGGCCGCCACGCTCCAGGGCCACGGGGCCCCCAAGAGCCGCAGCAGCCCCAGAGAGCCCAGGGAGGCCGCGCAGAGCCCCGCGGGGTGCATGGCTGGGAACGGGATCCGCGACCCCGATCCGGGACCGGGGTCTGCGATCGGGGACCGGGATCTGGGACAGGGACCCGGGATCAGGGACCGGGATCAGGGACGGGGATCTGCCATCGGGGACAGGGACCCAGGATCAGGGACCGGGCTCCAGGGGATGGGGCCGGGCTCAGGGACCGGGGCTCCGAGATCGGGGACGGCGGTCCGGGATTAGGGACCGGGATCCGGGGGCACCGGGCCCGGGATCAGGGACGGGGGTCGGGCCGGGATTCAGGGAAGGTCGTTCCGGGGGTCCGGGGGATCAGGCCGGGGCTCAGAAGGGTCGTTCCGGCGCTCCGGGGGTCGGGTCAGGGCTCCCCCGCTGCCGGTGCTCCGGGGGCCGGGCCGGGCCGGGCCTCACCGCAGGATCTGGGGGTGGGTCCGGGGCTGGGGGGGGTCGGTCCGGGGCCTCTCCGGGGCTCCGGGGCCGTTCCGGGGCCTCCCCGGGCCCTCCCGGTCCCCCCTTCCCGGCGCTGCCGCCGTTACCGGAGCCGCCACCGCCTCAGACGCGGCCCCGCCCACGAGGGGCGGGGCGGAGGGAGGGGAGAGATCCTATTGGTTGGCAGCGCGGCTGCCGGCAGCGGATTGGCTGAAGCGGGGAGGGAGGGGGAGAGGGGCGAGGTCTGGCGGGAGAGGGGCGGGTCCGGGCGGGAGGAGGGCGGGGTCTGGAGGAGCCACGCCCACACGCAGTGCCGGTGCGGGGGGCGTGGGGGGGACCCCCAAAACCGGTCCCCAGGACCCCCAAAACTGGACTCACATGGACCAGGACCCCCAAAACTGGGAATCCATGGGCCTCGGGACCCCCACTACTGGAACCCCCCAGCCCCAGGACACCCATCATTGGGACCCGACACCCAAGAGCCCACAACCAAACCCCCACAGCCATAGGGACCTACACGAACAAGACTCCACGGCCCCGGGACCCCCAAAACCGGGACCCCACAGACCCAAGGACCCCCAAAACCAGGATCCCCACAACCAGACCCCCACGACCATGGGCACCTACACAACCAAGACTCCTCCGCAGTGAGATCCCACAGCCAAGACCCAACATTCCCAGCACCGCCCACACCCCCGCAACCCCAAACACCCCCCCTTGACCCCAGGACGCCCCCGCCTCATCTCCCAGCCCCTCCCATTTAATCCGATCACGGGAATCCTCTCTGCTAATCCCGGGATCGCGGCGGGGGCAGCAGAGGCGCCCCGGGGGGCTCCATCCCCCTTCTCCCGCTGCTCCGCGTCCCGATCCGTCACCTCCCCTCCTGCCGAGCCTTCCTCCCTCTGCCATGTCCGCGCTCTTCGCCGGGAAGGTGCTGAAGGCGAACCGGGAGGAGGACGAGCTGGACACGGAGCGGGAGCTGCGCGGGGCGCTGGACAACAAGGTGCTGCTGCTCTACTTCGGCTCGGGGCAGTGCCCGCGCTGCCAGGACTTCGCGCCCCTGCTCAAGGACTTCTTCCAGCGCCTCACCGACGAGTTCTACGTGGAGCGCTCCCGCCAGCTCGTCCTGGTCTACGTGTCCCGCGACGAGACGGAGGAGCAGCAGAGCGCCTTCCTGCGCTCCATGCCCCGCCGCTGGCTCGCGCTGCCCTTCGGGGACACCTTCGGCAGGTACGGCCGGGGCACGGGGGTCCTGCACCCGCGGGTGGCTTGGGGGGCCGAGGGTCTTGTCTGGGGGCCGAGGGTCTTGTCTGGGGGTTGAGGGTCTTGTAAGACTGGAGAGGTCGGTGCGGGGTGTGACTGGGAAACCCGCGGAGTCCCTGGGCTGCACCTGCTGGAAATATTTTAATTATAATATATGTCATATAATCTAATCTAATCTGTGTCATAATCTCATATAATGTCATCATATATCATATATAAAATATATATTATATATGTCATATAATATTATATGTAAATATAATACTAATGCCATTATATGTCATATTGTATATAAATATGTCATTATATATAATATATAAATATAATATCATTGTATATCGTATTATATATAAATATAATGTCATCATATATAATAATATAATACATACATATTTTATATATATTTTATATATACACATATATTTAAACAGGACCCACAGCTCTGGGTCCCCCCACAACTGGACCCCCCAACTGGGACCCCACAGCCCCAGGACCCCAAAAACTGGGTTCCCACAGCCCCAGGACCCCCAAAACCAAGGAGGTTTAATTTAAAATACATAAAATATTCCTGCTGTTCCTGTATCCCGATTTTCCATTCTATTTATAACTCCCAAACATTGCAGGCTCGGCCCCAGAGCCCTGGATTGGGATGTGGCTGGATTGGAACCAATTACTGTAACCTCGTTAGTGGCAGAACGAGCCTAATTAACACCCAGAATGATTCCCGGCTCTCTTGGAGGATAAACTGCAGGAGGTTGGAATTTGGAGCCTCTTGTTGATGTT